ATGAAGACCTCACATGCGTATGCTTATACTGTTCATGAAGACCTCACATGCGTACGCATATACTTCTCATGAAGACCTCACATGCGTATGCTTATACTGTTCATGAAGACCTAACATGCGTACGCTTATACTGTTCATGAAGACCTCACATGCGTATGCTTATATACTGTTCATGAAGACCTCACATGCGTATGCTTATACTGTTCATGAAGACCTCACATCCGTACGCTTATGCTGTTCATGAAGACCTCACATGCGTACGCTTATACTGTTCATGAAGACCTCACATCCGTACGCATATGCTGTTCATGAAGACCTCACATGCGTACGGTTATACTGTTCATGAAGACCTCACATGCGTACGCATATACTGTTCATGAAGACCTCACATGCGTATGGTTATACTGTTCATGAAGACCTCAAATGCGTACGCCTATACTGTTCATGAAGACCTCACATGTGTATGCATATACTGTTCATGAAGACCTCACATACGTACGCTTATACTGTTTATGAAGACCTCACATGCGTACGTTTATACTGTTCATGAAGACCTCACATGCGTACGCTTATACTGTTCATGAAGACTTCACATGCGTACGCATATACTGTTCATGAAGACCTAACATGCGTATGCTTATACTGTTCATGAAGACCTCACATGCGTACGCTTATACTGTTCATGAAGACCTCACATGCGTACGCTTATACTGTTCATGAAGACCTCACATGCGTACGCTTATACTGTTTCATGAAGACCTCACATGCGTACGCTTATACTGTTCATGAAGACCTCACATGCGTACGCTTATACTGTTCATGAAGACCTCACATGCGTACGCTTATACTGTTCATGAAGACCTCACATGCGTACGCTTATACTGTTCATGAAGACCTCACATGCGTACGCTTATACTGTTCATGAAGACCTCACATGCGTACGCTTATACTGTTCATGAAGACCTCACATGCGTACGCTTATACTGTTCATGAAGACCTCACATGCGTACGCTTATACTGTTCATGAAGACCTCACATGCGTACGCTTATACTGTTCATGAAGACCTCACATGCGTACGCTTATACTGTTCATGAAGACCTCACATCCGTATGCATATACTGTTCATGAAGACCTCACATGCGTACGCTTATACTGTTCATGAAGACCTCACATCCGTACGCATATACTGTTCATGAAGACCTCACATGCGTACGGTTATACTGTTCATGAAGACCTCACATGCGTACGCATATACTGTTCATGAAGACCTAACATGCGTACGGTTATACTGTTCATGAAGACCTCAAATGCGTACGCCTATGCTGTTCATGAAGACCTCACATGCGTACGGTTATACTGTTCATGAAGACCTCACATGCGTACGCTTATACTGTTCATGAAGACCTCACATGCATACGCATATACAGTTCATGAAGACCTCACATGCATACGCATATACTGTTCATGAAGACCTCACATGTGTACGCATATACAGTATATGCTTAAAGTATTCCTTCATCCTTTTCTAGCTGCCAGTGTTTCAATTTACGCTTATACACTTGTATGTACAGTACCTGCCTCTATAAGTGTATACACGTAAGTTGCTGCACTCGAATGGAAAATTTTATTTTTTTATGGCCCTGAATGCATCTAAGAGAAAACAATATACCTGTGTTCAGATCCGGAAAAAAAATGTTGCACAGCTACAAACACTGCGTTTTTTATAACCTATGTGCAAAAGGCTTTAGCGTTTCAGATCAAACCCTTAGAAGAACTTATTGCAGCCGGCATTCATTCTTCACCACTAGAAAGCAGGGATCTTATCCCATCACCTGTACAACCAGTAGTAAATAGGTATGAGATAAGCTTTCAAACCATTTTTTCCAGATTGTGTAACATTGGTGTAGTCATCATGTTGCATAATGGTACTTTAATAGATGTTGTGACAGACCGCCTGGCACCCCACCTGGGTGGCTTCTGTCAGAGAACTGCTTCCTCGCCGCTGGAACACAGGAACAAGGAACATTATAGCTGGGCATTGCACCAAAGAACTGGATGACACTAGTTTATATGCAAGCAGGAACTCCTTTATTGAACAGAAATACAGGTTTTAATGCACTTCAGAAATAGGGGCAGTTACCACACAAAATCAGAGTTTGATCACATTATGCAAACTTTAAAGAGTATTATCATCAGTACATCTAATGAACAGCTAGCAGGTAACATTACCTTATTAAACTCCCTGGGGGTATTCCCGAGTGTAGCTCAGGGTAGAGTTTCAGCATCACAAGTGGTAACGCCGAGCTACACTCGGGAACACCCTGCAGCGCTGCTCTGGGATCTCTTCTTCACTTACCTTGTCCTTCGCTCCTGCGATGTCCCTCCAGTCATGCCTGGACTGAGCAAAGCTAAAAGGGGAGGGCCAGCATGACTGGGGCGTGCAGACAAGGCGGAGCATGTATTTTGGGTGTGAGTTTATGCAGGAGGTAAAGGGGGGTGGTTACTTACCTGATTGGAGTACGCAAGATTGAGGGGTGGTCTTGCCAGGATTAGAAGGGGGGTTGGGTCTTGTCAGAGTTCAGTCGGAGCTTGTACCAGCATGGGGGTGGTTTCTCCCGCCCTCCCTCCCTGGAGCTGTTTTCGTATTTTTGTTTTGCTGTGTTGGTTATGGTTTGTCCTTTGTGTTTGTCTTGGTGTTGGTTGTGCTGTTTGGTTTGGTTTGTTTGTTCGGTGTTTGTTTTGTGTGGGTTCATTGCGTTTGTTCCTTGTTCAAGACAGCTTTTTGTGTCCCGAGGTGTTTGTTTGTTTTGTCATGGAAGCCGGCAGGGGTCAATGGGTCTTTGAAGGCGGTGTTGGAGTGACAACTTGGTGAATTATGGGTTGGGCCATAATGTGTCCCGAGGTGTTTGTTTGTTTTGTCATGGAAGCCGGCAGGGGTCGATGGGTCTTTGAACTTGGTGAAACTAATTATGGGTTTGGCCCATCGTAGGTATGGGTGTCCCTTCCCAATTATAAGGTCATGTTGGTAATGTGGGAGTTCATTGGCTGAATCTGGGGCTACGTAACTGTAGTATTGTCTCCGAGGCGGTGTAGTAGCGGCTGGGGGCCTTTCATTGGTTGTCAGATACAGCCAAGTTTGTGATGGGAGTAACAGTGCCTACGAAGACCTTGGACCCGGTTGGGATCTTACTGTCAGTTATCATTTAAGTGTACTGTAAGAAGTGTTATGTTTAAGTTTGTTAAATAAATGGCTGCTATGGCCGGTTTTAGACCAGAAATAGAGTCACATGGTCATTTTGGTGGGGGAAGGTTTGAAGGGTGGTGGTGGTTTTATGGATTAGGGGTAAGTATTAGCCTCAATATTCTGCAAGTCCAACAGTCATGCAGTGTCCCCTGCAATGTTCTCAGCATCCGCATCTGTCTTCTGGTTTCCGTTCCCTGCGACGTCAGGACGTACGGGGACGGAACGGCGGGCAATTTAAAAATGTGAAAAAGTGACATTCACTAAATACACTAAAATCACATAGTAAAACATTACTGTATCAAACCATTTCACATACATTTTGTCCCGAGTGCTTTCTCCTGTGCCTGCCTGCATTTTTACTGTTCTTTCTGCCTGGAAACTGAGAAATGTCCATTGCGTCCAAAAATCGTCCCTTTAGGTCAAAAGTGGTTTTAGACCAGCTAGAGAACAGTGATAGTAAATTAGAACCACTTGCAGAATTGAGTGATAATGATTTGTGGGGAAATTCGTCATAAGACACTGAAAACGATTTTGCGACTTTTGCTCAGTGATTTTGCGCTATATTTCAAATTTCAGTGATTATATTATTGAATTAAATTTATTATTTATTATTATTTTTTTTATGATTATTTATTAAATTATAATTTATGATTTCGTGTTTCAATTTTTAACATACCCGGGATGTTTTCTAGACTCTTGTTCGAACAGATTTCAGTGAGTTATTCCTAAAAATTACAGGCCTACAATAAAAAAAACTACATATTTGCCATGCAAAAAAATGTACCGCTTTGAGCACAGAAATACTAACATAATCAGACCGCTAGGGAGGCTACCCAGTGATTTAATTAACAGTAAGCTAATCAACAGCCAAACACCTAGACCAGTCAGGGAGCCCACCCCAGAAACCACAACTCTGGATACACAAAGTCCATTACACATGCTGTCTTTAAGGTGTTTGGCTTTCACTTTTGTAATCTGTCCACTAGAAAAGTCATCATAAGACAAAACTCATACAGTATCCCAGCAGTCTGAAAAAGTGGAGTTAATTTATCTTCATAGATTTATTGGGGGAGATTGCTGATAAATATTTATGTTCCAAGTGGAGGAGCTTCTCCAACCCAGGCCTGTACAAGTAATATTACACCTTTCTATCCACTCCAGAAAAAAAGCTTTATTGTCTTTATGCAGAGAATTAGTCCAAGCCTTGCTCTCAGCTTTCATCACGTTGTTGACCATCATTACAGAGTGATCTGCTCTCTCCATGGGATCAGAGGCTGAACTGAGCTCTGGGACCAGGAGAAGCAGACAAGGCCCCTAGAAGGCTAGCCCCTAGTCCTCTCCAAAAACCTGTCCTGGCTGGGTCTGTCGTAGATGTATCATTTAAAAATTTGCTGTATTGATACCATAATTAGAGATAACCAAATCAGTTAATGCAGATCAAGATCTGAGCTTGATTGGGGCTAGGGGAAGTAACGTTTACTGAAAAAAACCTGGCTGATGCCTGTGGCACAAGGCCAATGTATTGGTGTGCACATTGCAACAGGATGGCCAACATTTGATCTATTTACTAATAAAAAAAAGAACCTCTGTAGATTGTTTTATCAAGTTCCAATAAAGAGTGATTTGTGACTTGATGTTTGAAGTAAAAAAAATAGTAAAACTAAAACAGGAAAAATCGCAACAATGAATGAGTATATAGATATGTGATGATGCAATACTTTGTAAAATGTGACTGTACATGTCTTTGTCTATCAGATATGTAATAAGTACACTGGAGCTCATGGTAGCAGAGGACTATATGATAGTCTATCTAAATGGAGCCACTCCACGAAGAAAGATGCCAGGCTTAGGATGGATGAAGAAGTGTTATCAAATGATAGACAGGCGGTAAGCAGTTATATGCAGTTTATGTGTATATTATATGCTGTACTTGTGCTACTGTTGTAGTAAACAGTCAGCTGCTTGTCATATCACAAAATGTCAAAGTTTATCTTGGGTATGGGTACTAAAATAGAATGATATCCCTTATAATTAGTCTTCTAAAACTCTGAGACCGGCTTTATTTTGTTGTCAGTGATGGGTTAAAACACCTGTGACTTTATCATAGGTGTCCTGTTTGGGAGATTTTCTCTTCACTTTCTGTCCTGGAGATGCAAAATAGGAAGTCACTACAAATTAAGAAATTCACAATTAAACAGTTGTCACCAAAATAGATGTCCCAATTGGAACATTTATCCTCACCTCCTGTTATGGTAACAATACATTTTTTTTTCCCATCGCCTTCTGTTCCATTGATAATAGTCGTCAGGACAAATAGAGAAGGTGACAAATGTTTTGATCCTTCCATATGCTATCCAAAAACATTTTGGCTATATATATATATATATATATATATATATATATATATGTATAAATATTTATTAATAATTTAAAATATGGGTATGTATTATACCTACCTAAGATCTGATCTTTAGACTATCTTCTCACAGTTCTCTACCCCTTTAAAACAAATGGGGCTGACTGATTACATCTGGAGAGAGGAGAAAGGACAAAAGTGTTTTGGGAACTTTGACTCTACTGCATATTATTGGGAGGGGCTTAAAGTATGAGAGTTTAAGTGGAGGAGGGTATTAGCGGTGTAATGTTACTCTACTTCCTGTGAGATCATTATACTTGTAATATATTGAATGTTAAACCTTTGTATCTTTTTACAGGCTAAGGAAGAACCTAAAGTCATTCATAATTGTTCATCCATCATGGTTCATCAGAACTATATTAGCTGTGACACGGCCTTTCATAAGGTATTTGTGAAAATCGTAACAATAACAATACAAATATATTTCTTTCTTTGTTACTAAGCAAGATCTGAGATTAACAATTCACAGTAATGCCCAAAAGAATTGTGTGGATAGCAGATATAGCAGTGGCTTTATGGGGATTCCCACAGATACAAAAATAGCTTGTTTTTTATTATTTTTTTGTACAGATTGCACATTACCATAAAGCATCCTAGGAATACAAAATATGAGTTTTAGAGTACTTTCCTTCCCTCTTCACATACTGCTATCTGGCATTTGTGTGAAGCACACCTATATATGCTTGAGGTGATTGTATATACTGATATGTCAGACTGTTATAACATGTATCACTGTTATATCATGTATCATATGTTATGTCAGACTCGTATAACAGGTATCATTGTTATATCGTGTATCATATATTATGTCAGACGGTTATAACATGTATCACTGTTATATCATGTATCATATATTATGTCAGTCTGTTATAACATGTATCACTGTTATATCATGTATCATATATTATGTCAGTCTGTTATAGCAGGTATCTTTGTTATATCATGTATCAGATATTATGTCAGATGGTTATAAACATGTATCACTGTTATATCATGTATCATATATTATGTCAGACTGTTATAACATGTATCACTGTTATATCATGTATCATATATTATGTCAGACTGTTATAACATGTATCACTGTTATATCATGTATCATATATTATGTCAGTCTGTTATAGCAGGTATCTTTGTTATATCATGTATCAGATATTATGTCAGATGGTTATAACATGTATCACTGTTATATCATGTATCATATATTATGTCAGACTGTTATAACATGTATCACTGTTATATCATGTATCATATATTATGTCAGACTGTTATAACATGTATCAGTTATATATCATGTATCATATGTTATGTCAGACTGTTATATATATTATTATATATAGTGCTATATCAGTGTTTTTGTTTTCCTGTTTTGCTTATACATTCCCATTACATGTTTAATACTAGGTACAGTCTAGCTTTTGGTATGTGCTGACCTATTTTATTACTTGAACCTGGTTGTTTGCAAGTTTAGCTGTAATTGCACAAACACAAACTATGTGTACATGTGTACTATGTACACTAAAGTTTATTTTTTATTATTATTATTAATAATAATAACAATAATAATAATAGTAGTATATAGCACCCCCACCCTCAAGAAGGTTACTGCATAACTAATCTAATCTTACAATCTGTGTATCTCACATACATACACATAGTATGGTCAATTTAGACAGGAACCGATTAAACTACCAGCATGTCTTTGTACTGTGGGAGGAAACTAGAGTTCCCAGGGAAACCCAGACAAGTACATGGCAAGGTCAAAGCAGATAGTATCCTAGCTCCAGGGCCGTGGATATGGGGGTACCACCAGTCCTCCTGTATGAAGCCAAGGCCAGCAGGGGGCCCAGGCAGCTGGGTGAATCATCAGATGTGGGCACGGCGGGGGGGAGGGGGTGCGATTACTGGAACTGATCCCTTGTATGGCTCTCTCTGCAACAGCTGAAAGCTGGATTCTCCTCTCCCTCCAGCTGGTTTTCAGTTTCTACAGAGAGAGCCATACCTCCCTGTACACATCTGATTCACCCAGCTGCCTGACCCCCCTGCTGGTCTAGACCCCCCCTGGGCCCCCACAGTGCCAGCTTCCCTCCTGTCCTTCCCACCAGCAGCTGCAAGCACACAATAAGATTATTAGGATAGAGAGTGTGGGAAGTCTCTGATAACTATGTCATATTTACCAGCCCCTTCCTTTCCTGAATGAACACAATGAGTGATCAGTACTGATCACTGTGTTCATTCATACCTGAAGCATAGTAAACTGTGTGGGGGGTTTTTTTTGAAGGGGGCCCAGTCAGGTTGTCTTTATGGGGCTGCATGGTTTCTAACAGCAGCCCTGCCTGCCTAGGATTTCAACTGAAGACCCATGTGTTAACCACTAATTCATTATGCTGGCTGTAATAGGAATATGCATTTGTAATGTAAATTCTAGTACTCTTTTTCCATGTAAATCACCATCTCTATTTCCAGGGGTCGCAACCTCTACCTGCAGATGACTGGATTTTTCTATACAAATGCATTTCCAATAGGCTTAGTGAGCAAATACCCATTTAGTAAATGAACCACATTATACATAAGATGCAAGGTAGTAAGAAACTGGCCTAACATGACAGAAAGTGAAGCTTACCAAGCCTATTTTCTTCCCTCATCTTCTAGCTAATGACATTACATTGAAAATCTACTATTAGTCACATGCATTACAGCACTGGTTCATGTTGATCTTCTTTTGTATATTGAAAAATGTAGATCCTTTCGACAGCATCTCAATGTTGTTTTGATACTGTCTTTTTTTTTCTAACAATCATACCAATATAGAAAGATTTATACGCACACACCTTATGAATGAAAAAAGCAGTTTAACAATTTTATGATTTTATGGGCAGCAATATTGAATGTGATCACCAAGGTCGGACTGACAACTCATGGGGCCCCCGGGCAATAGCGGGTCATTGGGCCCCTGTGTCCTTGCCCAAACTCAAAAAAGCCTATGAAAAAGGTACCAGGGGCATCTCATGGGGCCCCCTACTGACCCCGGGCCCTCGGGCAGTTTCCAAATGGTCAGTCCGCCCCTGGTGATCACAAACATGCTGCAACGTGATTGAAGTGAATTAAATGCAGGCCAACACCCTGTTTCTTTTCTGTCTGACGTTAAGTTAAAGCTGATGATATCAATAAAACTGGGTATACAAATAAAGACAAGCACAAACATTAGTTCATTTCTATGATTTCTGTTTGCTGAAAATGTTGAACTTCTGGCATATAAAAACTTGCATTTTAATACATTTATGTGTTAATAATGAAATCACTAAATGTACTTTACATTAACAAATGTATAGTTCTGCATTTGTCCAGATATCAGCTATCTGTAATCTCTTGAATCCAATACAGACAATATTGTCTGTAAACAAGCTGAAAGAGAGGATTGAGTGATTAACTGATCAATGTGCTGGTGTTCCTTCATTGTACTTCATTCTACCCCTGCAATTGAACACTAAGTCCTCATGCACACTGGACGTTTTGATAACGCTGGTAACATTAGCTGTGTAAAGTCACGTTAAAAACTTGAATTTTTCATTTTTTAGCGTTTAGCTGCGTTTTCCTGCATTTTTTTTGCATTTGCGTTTTTAACGTTGTTTGCAAAAAAAAATAAATTTTTTTGTCCAAAAAAGTCCAAAAACGTTGGTTTGAGGCATTTTACCGTGTTTTGCTGCATTTTTGAGCATTAGAGCATTTTTACAGCTAAAAAAAACTCCTCTAGAAACCCACTAGTCCTGGGGGTTTTTTTCCAGCCAAAAAACATCCCTGCCAAAAAATGTTGGTTACAGTCTATGTGTGCATGGACACATAGGATAACATGCTGGGGGGTTTACTAGCTGTAGAAAAAAACATCAAAAGCCAAAAACAGCAGCTGTAAAAACGTCAAGTGTGCATGAGGGCTTATGTTTGGAATCCTTTTGGTTGTCAGTACTTTAAACCAATTTATCCATGGTGCTCACTATATCATCAACTTTGCCTCCTTTCACATTGTTATACATCGCCAGGTTTTACGATTGTCCAGTTTGTTGTCTTGGACACTGGGCCAACTGTTGATATCAGTCTTCAGGAAGCATTGTTTTAATGAAACATTAAAGGAAGGAAAGGACCATTTGAATTTTTAAAAGCATATTGTCATGTCAGTATAATAACTCACATTGAATAAATATAAAAATATATGGATTGCGCTACAGTAAAAAATATAAATAGTACAAATGGTGCACAATAGTTCACTTTGCAACATCAACATTATGATTTTTATAAGAAAAATTAATAATAGCGCCTATGGTCAAAATTATATAACTTACTAATAATGTACCAGCTGCAAAAAATCACCATATATAAAGTGTACCAATAAATAAATAATTTGCGCTAGTAAATGTGTATAAATATATAAATATATATGAAGAAATCATCAAATCATAAGTCCAGAAAAAAATATATATATATGCCAATACCACAAAAAAAAATAAATATAAAAAAACTTTTAGGTGCAAAAAACTTTTGTGCAGAAAAAGTGTCTGAATATGAAAAATTTCACCAAAAAACCTTGATAATATAATGGCAGATCATCCATAAATATTTCTTCAGAAACGGAAACTCTGCAGCACACCGATCCTCATCGATCGAAATAACAGGATGAAAAACTTTGTAGTTAATCGAAAATCCACTTCTCCAATAGGTAAAGGACCACCTTCAAACGTATCCATAGGGGGAAATGCCAAGCACTCGGGAGAAACAGAAAGACTTCATGGTGCAATATTATAAAAACCAATTCCTTTATTAGGTACTCATTGCACTTACTCAAGAGGTGTCCCAGCCGACACCAGCATCAACAGCATAACAGCAATCACATAAACGAGCCTGGCTACTCAGCACATGCGCAGTAGCTGGCAGCCAAAAACGTAATAACGTCACATCAATCAAGCCCCGCCCTACGCGTTTCGTCATCGACGTCCTCACGGAGCTCCTTTTAATTTTTATCATAACTCACGTAATATTAACTTTTTTAATCGCTTCCCGATCGCCCTATAGCAGAAGTACCACTACAGGGATGCGCAAAATCCCGTGTATACATACATATATATATATATATATATATATATATCCTGTTCCAAATTATTATGCAAATTCTATTTACATGTCACAAAGATGAAATATTTTGTTTTTCAGTTTAACTCATGGATGGCATTGTGTGTCAGGGCTTTTTTGATCACTGAAAACAATCTCGGACACCTGTGATAATTAGATTGGCAGGTGAGCCCAATTTAAGGAAAAACTACTAAAGGACGGTGTTCCACATTATTAAGCAGAGCACCATTTTCAAGCAATATGGGGAAGAAAAAGGATCTCTCTGCTGCCGAAAAGAGTGAAATAGTTCAATGCCTTGGACGAGGTATGAAAACATTAGATATTTCACGAAAACTTAAGCGTGATCATCGCATTATTAAGAGATTTGGGGCTGATTCAGAGCACAGACGAGTTTGTGCAGATAAAGTCACATTGAGGAAGATTTCTGCCAGATCCATGCATCGGATCAAGAGAGCAGCTGCTAAAATACCATTACATAGCAGCAAACAGATATTTGAAGCTGCTGGTGCCTCTAGAGTCCCACGGACATCAAGGTGTAGAGTCCTCCAGAGTCTTGCAACTGTGCAAAAACCTTCTATTTGGCCACCACTAACCAATGCTCACAAGCAGAAACGGCTGCATTGGGCAGAAAAATACATGAAGACTAATTTTCAAACAGTCCTGTTCACTGATGAGTGCTGTGCAACCCTGGATGGTCCAGATGGATGGAGTAGTGGATGGTTGGTAGACGGCCACCCTGTTCCAACAAGGCTGTAACGTCAGCAAGGCGGCGGTGGAGTCACGTTTTGGGCCGGAATCATGGGAACAGAGCTGGTCAGCCCCTTTAGGGTCCCCGAAGGTGTAAAGATGACCTCTGCAAAGTATGTGGAGTTTATGACTGACCACTTTCTTCCCTGTTACAGAAAGAAGAACTATGCTTTCCATAATAAAATCATCTTCATGCATGACAATGCACCATGTCATGCTGCAACGAATACCTCTGCATCAATGGCTGCTATGGGGATAAAAGGAGAGAAAGTCATGGTGTGGCCTCCATCCTCCACTGACCTCAATCCTATTGAGAACCTTTGGAGCATCCTCAAGCAAAAGATCTATGAGGGTGGGAGGCAGTTTACATCCAAACAGCAGCTCTGGGAGGCTATTCTGACATCTTGCAAACAAATTCAAGCAGAAACTGTCCAAAAACTCACAAGTTCAATGGATGCAAGACTTGTGAAGCTGCTATCCAATAAGGGGTCCTATGTTAAAATATAATGTGACCTGTTCAAATGTTTAAAAAGTTAAAATGTTGTTAAAAGTTTGATTGAAATAACTTTTGATTTCAGTAAATATGCTGCAAACACAACAAATGACAATTTTCAGTTCTTTACAACCTATAAAGTGTTTTGAAACTTACTGTGCATAATAATTTGGAACAGTGCATTGTAAGTTTTTTATGTTTAAAAAAAATACTGTTATCATTAGGAGGTTTGTTCAATAAAATATGAATTGTACTCTTAATAGTTGATAACATGAGAATTATGCTGACTGTTATTTACATCAATTATTTAGGTAAATGAGAAAAATATCATTTGCATAATAATTTGGAACAGGGTTTATACATATATATGTACTGCTATTGGCTCCTCGGCATGTCATTCACTGGGTCCTGGGGAGAGGTCTGTGTGTAAACAATACAGCTCACTCCCCCTTCAGCACGAAAAGGCTGCTTTGTATTGCTTTGCACAGCAGAGCAATACAAAGCAGCATTTGTACATAGTAAAACACACACAGTATACTATGTAAAACAAAACACAGCACACAGGAAACCCTTTGATTGCCCCAGACGTTAACACTTTCCTGCCCAATGTCATTATTATTATTATTATACAGTATTTATAAACGCCAACAATTCGCTCAGCGCTGTACATTACAATGGGAGACAGAACATGCGATAGTACAATAACAATACAATGCGATACACGAGGGGTTCAAGGGCCCTGCTCCTTGGAGCTTACAATCTAGGAGGGAGGGGATAGTGGTACAGGAGGAAATAGCTGTGGGGGATGGAGTGGTAGGATGAGTGGAGGAGGTCGGGAATTAGCAGGGGGTGGGGTAGGCTTCCCTGAAGAAGGTGGGTTTTCAGGATGCACCTAAAGGAGAGGAGAGTAGGTGATAGTCTGATGGATTGGGGTAGGGAGTTCCAGAGTATGGGTGACGCCCTGGAGATGTCCTGGAGGCGGGCATGGGAGGAGGAGTAAATAAACAGTGTCAGTGCTTTTTATTAGCACTGATCACTGTATTAGTGTCACTGGGGATGTCATTGACAGTTATTCAATTCCAACCCAGTGTCAATGCCCGCTGCAATCCCACAATCCCACAATAATTCGCTGATGGCCGCCATTATGAAAGAAAGAAAGAAAGAAAGAAAGAAAGAAAGAAAGACAGCAGTATATACACCGCCATTTGTTGACACCATAACTTTCACATAAACCAATTAATTTACACGTATTGGTATTTTTTCTAGCAAAAACATGTAGCAGAATACATTGCCTAAATTTATGAGGAAATTTTATTTTTTACATTTTTTTACTGGGTATGTTTATAGCAAAAAATAAAAAATATTGTTTTTTTTTTCTATAGCGCAAAAAATAAAAAAAAAGCAGAGGGGATCAAATACCACCAAAAGAAAGCTATTTGTGGGAAAAACATTACATAAATTTCATTTATGTACAGCATTGCATGACCGCGTAATTGTCAATTAAAGTAATGCTGCGGCTTTTCGCAAAAAATGGCGTAGTCAGGAAGGGGGGTAAATCCTGTGGAGTGCAAGTGGTTAATATGCATTTTTTTTGTTTGTTTTTCAGTTCCAAGTTCAGCAGCAAGATACAATATGTATCCAGTTTAGCTGAGCTCCGAGAACTTATTCCAATGGACTATGTGCAGATTCCGGAAAGTATTATCAAGTAAGTTATAACTTCTAGCACTGTTTATAGAAAGAGAGAGGCGCCCCTGATAATAAGGGTTAAACTCCTGCACCCCAGTTGTTATTATAGAATGCGTTATTCTTCCTCAGACATGCTTCCCACCTGTACTCCTTATACAAAGTGATCCTTAAAACTGATGCATCTGATTTCAGCATTGTTTGCAACATTACGACAAGAAAAGGTCATATAGGATGTCCCTAGCAGGCAACAATGAACACATTTGAGCACTGGAAGTGCTAGCTTTCACAAAAAAAAATTTGAAATTCAGTGTCATTTAAGGGAGGTATCCTCTGAGTGATTTTGTGTGGAAGGTTATTAGATTAAAACAGTGTGAAAATCTCAGTATCATCCGCAGCCCACCATTGTAGTTATCTAAGTACGCTAAGCAATTTGACTGCAGGTAGAGATGATCAGGTTTGAAATATTTCTTATTAATCATTTCAAAATTGTGTACGACTTTTAACGTTTATAAAACAAAAACTATTTTTTTTTACTTTGTATAGATTAGAATGGAGCTCCTGTTACGTTTTTAGAGCTGTCCATGGCCCACTGGGGAAATGCACTCTCTTTATTTGTCCCAGTGAGCATTGTCACCGAGACAGTAAGTAATGGCAAACCAACAATTTACAGTTGAAGTGACAGTTGGACACCTGTTCTGTCCCCTCACTTTGTAGAGATTTCTTGTGGGTTTTTGGGAAAAGAAATGACAAGAAAAAAAAAAAAAAAAAAAACGATAGTGGTTTTATCTCTCCACTACTAGAAAATGTATTTTGGTTATAGATACAGCGGTTTCCAGCTTCCAGTGGCATCAGCCAGGCATGGTATATACATAGTTACATTAGTCCAAGCTGGACCAATGTAACTGTGTTTAAAATATTCATACCCAAAATCAGGGGTGGACTGACCATTTGGAAACTTGGGCACTGCCAAGGGCCCGGGGTCAGTAGGGGGTTCCATGAGATGCCCCTGGTACCTTTTTCATAGGCTTTTTTGAGTTTGGGCAAGGACACAGGGGCCCATGATCCCCTATTGCCCCATGAGTTGTCAGTCCGCCCCTGATTTTGGGTATGAATATTTTAAACACAGTTACATTGGTCCAGCTTGGACTAATGTAGCTATGTATATACCATGCCTGGCTGATGCCCCTGGAAGCTGGAAACCACTACTCCAGTGATCTCCACTTGCTTCTGGGTCCCATGCCAAGTGTCTGCCCAAGTGTATTCTGAACACAGGAGCTTGGCTGCTCAGCACGAGTGCCCTATCAGAGAATGATTTGCATGTTTTTTAATGAATGCAAGGTATTCTCTGATTGGACAAGGTGAAGAGGTGGGATGGTGACATCACTCTCCCCACCTTGTCCAATCTGAAAATGCTGTATGCTGTACGTGTATTTGCTTTAATACATCTGTAACTACTTGCATCAAATAGTTTTACTTTTTTGGGGTATTTTTCAGTCATTCCATTTGGGTTATGTTAAATGGCCAGTTTAAATTCAGGTATTACTTAGCAACATACATTTTACTCTCAAAAAGTCATGTAGTATAGGTCACTAATATTACAAACTGCCAGCACAAAAATAAGCTATAGTATTATTAATGCTGGATCCACTCACAGAAATGGATGCCTCCACAGTATGTACATGATAGGTTTAATAAATAAAAGTTTAATTGGTAGGTACACAAATTAGGTATAATTGCTTTGTGTGAGTTGTTACAAAGGTTTGTACTCTGAATCACCTAAAATAGCCCCTGGCTATTACTGTACTTTATTAGGGAATTTCTGCAGTGAGTAAATGGATTCAGAAAATGCAAATGCCATACTTGGAGACAAGCATTATGTCACAGAGAGTCAGATTTAATTTTCACAGCTCAGATGCAAATATTGAATAACCTGTTTGTCACCATTACAGAGTTATAGCCTGAGCACACAGATTCGATTGCATGAGTTTTCACATGATGAGATGTTCTTTTGCTATTATATACAAATGCATAGAAAACCTTTTTCTCCAGAAAAGAAAATTGCTATCCTAAATACCATTAAAAACATAATGAACATCAGTGGTAAAGCAGGTTCTGAGGCACTTACATACTGTTTGTGGAAGTTTGTGGAATTCCTTGTAAAAACCTAGTAATTTAGTCACCAAGTCATTCAAACTGGTTTGACTTAAAGGATAAGTTCACCGTTGGAACATGTTACCTGTTCCACCCGTTTTTAGGGTGGAACATGTAACATGTTCCCATAGCCGCAGCTGCAGCCCACCGCCCCCCTCCCTCTGACAGATAATACAAGGAGCAGTCTCCCTGTACTATCCGTCAAATTTGAAAACAGCGTGGCCGTTTGGAGCTCTGCCCACACGGCTGCATCATTCATTCACGGACATCCGTGAATGAATGAACTGCAAGTCCTGACAACCTTCGTGGCTGTGGGCTTGTAGTTTTCAATGAACTACTACAGCGCTGTGGAGCATCGTGGAAGTTCATTGAAGCCTCCTGTCAGAATATCTGCTTGCTATCCCCTATGGCAAGCAGAAGCCTCCTGTCAGAATATCTGTCATTGAAGCCTCCTGTCAGAATATCTGCTTGCTATCCCCTATGGCAAGCAGATATTCTGACAGGTCTGCAGGAGACCTTCATGGCATCATCCATCTACTGATCACTGGTGCAATGCATTCCAGGCTCCTGTAGACACAAATACATGCACATTTGTTTTACCTGAAAAAAATGTGCATTTATTATTTTTGTTTAAAAGGTTAATTTATCCTTTAAAAGGCACACTAGTGTCATGGAATTTTGCTGGATAAGACAAGATGTAGAAAAAATGTATATGTTCACATTTTTTTTAGTGGTGGACTGTTAATGCTTTTCTCAGAACTTTGTGTCCACATGTGTTCATTTTGAACAGAAGAAAGGTCCACAGTCATTGGAGGGTATTTTATTCACAAACAGCAACATACAATCATAGTAGTCTCAAAATGTTTTAATAACAGAAAGATGAGAGCCAAAGTAGGTAGACATTGAGGTTGATTTACTATAGGTAAATATACTGTGCACTGCCAGTGTAGTTGCTTTATATCCAAGGGGAAGCTCTGAAATGAGGCAAAGTTCTGCTGAATTCTTTTATCCACACATCTACAAGCAAAAATGCTATTTTTTTTTTATTTTCCTTGCATGTGCCTTTAGTAAATCAACCCCCATTCCCTCACCATTCCGCTTTAAGGGAGTTTTGCATTTTTTTTGTTAGAAATAAGGAAAGACTTGTGATTACTGATAATCTTCAGACTTCTTCAGTGTCCTGTTCCTTTGACACTGAGTTCCCACTGCTTAGACCTTGGTGTGATTGGGGTGAGACATATCCAAGACAGCCCTTGCCTTCGAATTTGATGTACAAAGCGGGCAAAAAATAACTTTAAGTGATGAAGTTGAGCTTACGTGTTTCATAACTGTAACCTAAAACCAGTGGCCACCTTGGTATATGAGTTCCTGTGTGATAAACTCACATTATCTTCCACTGTATTATGCAATTAATAATTTCTTAGCAATCTCTTGGAGAGCTGAAATTCCTTTTGGTTAAGCTAGCCATACACTAGTAGAATTTCATGCAAAATATTTAATTTCAAGTTTGTTCCTTTTGATTTTCTAATCATTATTGGAGTCAAAGCAAAAGTTCATTTTAGGCCAGAGTGATGATACAATTTGAAGGAGTAGGATGGCAAATTTTTCACAAAAATATTTCTAACAATGAATGCATTTTTTTATTCGGGACAGTCCATTCATTCTAGAATTGTCCAAAGCAAACACAATTTTAAAGTATAAACAACATTTGTACTGTCATCAAGTGCACTGAGAATTATCCTACAAATTTTTCATTTGAATGTTCATACGGACATTCACTCGAAAATCTTCTAGTTAATGGCCAGCTTTAGCTGCACACTGGAGGCAACCACCTTCTGGCCTGATGCACAATTCTGAAATGTAAGATGGCCAAATACATTATAATCCTATTCTACAGTCTCTGTACACTCACCAAAACAATATAATGAGAGGACCTATCTCCACAATCCAGTGGAAGCTTAACAGAAAATTGTACCATCAAACCGTGAAGTGTATGGTGCTATGAGTCTCTATTAATACCTCTAGCGCCTCACAAAACTGTTCAGTTCTTGGTTCTTTCTAAAGAACAGCTCTCCCCACTCTTTGTGACTGGATTTGGTTATGAAGGCAGAGCTGGATAAAAACCTTGGTATTGTGGTAGTGGCCAGGCATATTTAGTGAAAGTAAAATACAAAAATTAGTTAAAGGATAGGTTCACCTTTCATAACATGTTACATTTTACACCCATATTCAGGGTGTACCATGTAACATGTTACGAATGGATCAGCCGCCGCTCCCCTGCTTTGACAGCTAGCAGGGGATCTTCTCCTCCTGCTAGCAGGGCTCCTCCCACCCGGCCACGTCACTCATTCACAGTCCAGCTGTCAGATTGTAGTTCTCAATGAGCTACCACAGTGCTTTGAGCGCTGTAGTAGTTAATTGATTCTTCCTCTAAGTATATCTGCTTGCCCATACATCCCGGGCATGATGAAATGTAACAGATAATTTATTGATCCATTGCATACAAAGAGCACCATGACATATACAAAGCTGTTAACGCGTTTCACATGATTGCGTGCTTATTCATATGAACGCGTGTGAAACGCGTTAACAGATTTGTATATGTCCTGGTGCCCTTAGTATCTGATGGATCAATAAATTATCTGTTACATTTCATCAATCCTTCGGTGTGCAGCTAATACTTCTTCCTCAAGCAGATATACTGACAGTTCTGCAGGAGACCTGCATGGAACCAGCGATCTGCTGATCGCTGGTGCAATGCTTTACAGGCTCCTGCAACAAAAAATAATACATGCACATTTTTTTTACCCTAAAAAAAATAGCATTTATTATTTTTTGTCAAAAGGTGAACTTATCCTTTAACCACATGCTG